GAACCTGCCAAGCTCTGACAGCTTCCTGGCATTTCTAGGATCACACCCTGCCTGACTCACCCCAATATTACCTTCATATCATTTTATTCCATGCACTAACTGGAAGACAGGCCTCAGCCAAGGTCAACAGGAAATTAACTTTTGGTGTGTGTGTGTGTGTGTGTGTGTGTGTGTGTGTGTGTGTGTGTGTCGCTGAGGATGGAAGCCAAGACCTCTGAGAACTAAGCACATGGCAGACACTCGATGCAGCCTGCCAGCCAGGGCACAAGAGGCTCTTGCGGTGGGCATATCATTCGTTTGGTGCGTACTCAACCATGTTTTTCTTTAGGGCCCGTGTGATGGGATGGCGTATGGTGAACTGGACACTCAGGGCAGCAGAATACTGTTTACTTAGAAGTTGGTCTCTACTCTGCCGTTATGTAGCTTTTACTCTGTCTCTGTAGTCGGCAGTTCTGACGGGTCAAGGATTACCTCATCTTAACCCTGTTTTCAGTAAGGATACCATCACAGGAGTCTGAGGAGTGGACACTGTGGGCTGGGCCATCTTTGGCCTAAGCAGTGTCTGCTCCCTTGGTTTCCTTCTTCTCCTCTGCTGAAGGCTCAGGGTGTCTTCAACCCACTTAGGAGCTGGGTAAATATTTGCTGAATGAATGTGGCATTTATTGTCATTGGCAGGTTCCCAGCCCCTGCTTGGGCTTTTGTAAAATGAAAACTGTTTGTATCTTTGTTCAAGCGAGGCCAAGCAAACACGGAGCTGGGCAGGGCGGGCGCCTTTCATCACATGGCTCCCATTGCCGACAACTTGCTTCCTCAAGAGCCGCCACATCTGTGCCCCATCGTGATGTGAAAGACCAGAGCAGGGAGTTGTGACCAGGTCCCCAGCCGGGGCTGTGGTGGCTCAGAGACTTTGTTCTCCAGGCAAGTGTGCTGAGGACGTCCTGTGTCCACACCCTCTGTACTTACTGGCAAGGAAGTCAATGTCAGCCGGGGATTTAATGATGGTTATGATAAACGGCACTGGTGGCATCGCTGGTTACCGGCAGAAAAGTCACGGCCACAGCCACGATTACCAAAGTTACAGAGAGCTTTCTTAGAAAGAAGGAGAGGATAGGAGGGAGGAGACCAGGCCTGGAGAGAAAGAGAGGTGGAGGGAGCAGAGAGAGAACACAGAGAGACAGGGTTCTGTGTCTGGCTTTTTTAAGGTGCAGATTGCGTGACCATGGAGTAGCCAGCAAGACGCAAGACCCCGAGCTGCGCATGTACAGGATCCTAATGTTTAACTGATCCGTTTCCTACCCTTCTGTTCCCTCTCTTCTCCCCTCCCTCTCTGGCTCCTTCATTTCTTTTTCTTTCTTTCTTTTTTTCTTTTCTTTTGTGAGAGAGTCTCATGAGGAACATGAGGTGATTTTTCCCAGGACAGCTAGCTCATGGGAAAACTAGCATGGCTGTAGCTAAGAACAGTCGCTGTCCCTGGCAAGACACACGCTACAAGTTCCCCGTTTTGAGTTCTGAACTGGACCCCATCAACTCGACCCGACAGGACGCCACAGGCTGTGGATACAGAGAAAACGAGGGAGGAGGTTTGAGGGTGAAGAGCTTAGGCATGGGGAATCACAGGCCAGCGGGGAACACAGCTCTGCTTCCCCAAGGCTCCCCTGCAGCCTGCTAGGCGCTCTCACAGAAGTCCTGGGAACAATGAGTTGGAAGGGCAGTTCTGAGAACAGGAGATGGAACAGCCTGATTAGGGGAGGCTGGCGACAAGGCCCTGAGGAGGCAGCGTTATACCCTGATTGTGATCTCCACAAAAGTTCCTGTGGAGATAAAATGTGTAGATGCAATTGAAAGTGAGGTGTGTGTGTGTGTTGGGGTGTGGTGTGTCCTTCTGACCCAGCATGACTGGAAACCTGGTGTGTTGGCTTTTCACTGCAATCTTGGCACTCAGAAGGCTGAGGCAGGAGGATTACCTTGAATTCAAGACCAGCCTGTGCCACAGAGTAAGACTGACTGCTCAAGCTGAGCAGTGGTGGCGCACACCTTTAATCCCAGTGCTTGGGAGGCAGAAGCAGGCGGATCTCTGTGAGTTCTAGGCCAGCCTGGGCTACAGAGAGAGTTCCAGGACTGCCTGGGCTACACAGAGAAACCCTGTCTTGAAATGTACTCCTCCCTCCAAAAAAAGAGGAAGGCATCTGGGCAGACAGGTGAAGATGGCCACATATAGCTGAGACACAGGCCCTCTATCACCACCCCAGGAAGCAGCCTGGCCTCACCTTCACCTTCCTCCAGGATTGTGAGACCAGTGCATTCTGGTGGGGTCAGGTGTGCTACTGCCACACTGTGAGGCCCTGGGTCCGAGGCTTTCTGACTTCCAGGCTGCCCGCCTGGGGTGGTTCTGATGCACTGTGCCACCAGCTCATCCACAAGCCTTCCTTCCATCAGAAGGCTCTGAAGGACGGGATGCGGCTGGAGAAAAAGTGTAGAGGCCAGGTGTTTGTAAAAGATGTTAATTCCTGGGTCTCTCGGGGGACCAAGCATTTCCCCCAGTGGTGGCCGTCAGCCTTAGCATTGGCGACAGTGTGAGAACCCTGGAGCAATCCTTGCATGCCGAGCACCCATCCCGCCAGGGGAGCCCTCCACGCCCACAGTTGGGTGGCACATGGGTAGGGATCACACGCCTGGTTTCTCCGGGTGCATAGCGGACTGTGATGGGCCGATGGCTGCCCCTTTAAGGTGGCTGCTGTCCGCTGCCTGTGGACAGCCCCCTCCCCAAGCCCCATCCTGCATCCCTACAACCACATCCTGTGACGGGGAGCCAGGGAATTGGGACTCAAGCGGGTAAGGCCTTCAGGGTGGCATCAATGTGTTCTATCCAACACACAAAGGCTGAGGTGGGACGGGCAAGTTCAGGGTCAGCCAGGGCTTCGGTGGCGGACAGACCTGTCTCACAAAGATACAGTGTGTACTGAGTAGGCCGAGAGAGGGACGCCTCGGAAGTTATGAGCACTGACTGCTCTTGAGAGGACCTGGATTTAATTCCAAGCACCTGCAAGGCAGCTCACAGTCATCTATCCTTCAGTTCCAAGGGCTTTGATGCCCTCTTCTGGCCTCCATGGGCACCAGGCGTGCACAAGATGCACAGACATACATGCAGGCAGGACACTTACACATACAAAATAAGTTACAAAAATGTGAAATAAGCTCGGTGGCGGCACACCCGCCTTTAATCCCAGCACTCAGGAGGCAGAGGCAGGTGCATCTCTGTGAGTTTGAGGCCAGCCTGGTCTACATAGTGAATTCCAGGACAGCCAAGGCTACAGAGAGAAACCCTGTCTCAAAAAAACAGTGTGTGTGTGTGTGTGTGTGTGTGTGTGTGTGTGTGTGTGTGTGTATCAACAAAGGAGAATCACACAGATAAAATTTCTGGTACCTCTATGTTTTCAATCGTGCTGATCCCAGAAACATCACTGCCAAGCTCATTGGATCCAGCTGTGTCCATGCTTGACTGTCCTGAGGAAAGAGGCTGGATGTTCCCTGTAAATAAGTTATGGGTTTGGGCTGAGAGGATGTAATTCATTGGGGGGAGGGGCTCTATCCGAGCCTGGGGCCATGATTCTGTTCTTCCGGATACCTGGTGTCCCAGCCCGAGGCAGGGACTGGTGCCACATGTGGAGACCTGTGGCAGCAACAGAGTGCACACTGTAACCAGGCAGCCCCACAGGGCTTCACTGAGCAGCCGCAGCCCCAGGCTCTGGAAGGACATGGTAGACACTGCCACAGACTGTGTGGCTGGCCAGGATCAGGATTCCCCGAGGGTTGTGCTCTGGAGTGTTTGCTGGCTGCCTCCGACCAGGCCCTGCTGATCAGGGTGCACCTTCAGGACTGCCTCCCCACCACTATGGGGGTGTCTGGTGCTTTTCTTGTCGGCTTAGTGGCTGCACATGAATCGACTGATATTTCAATTATTGTCTGTGACCCCAAAACCCTGCAGTCAGTGCGCTGCAGGCCGCTCAGATCTTAGCCTGGAGGGATATACAGGTTTGAACTAAGTCTTTAACGTACCAACAAAGACTCGGAAGTCACATGTGGGGGTGAAACCTGCTAGATCAGAGAAGCCGAGAAGCAACCAGTGACCTTCCTTTTTGGACAGAGACCCAGCAGGAGACGAATCTCTCCAGCTGTCCCAAACCAAAACACAAGCATCAAACTCTAGTCCGGCCCTTCTCCTTCTGGTGTGTCTCTGGATTCTCTATGGCTAATTCCGGTCCACTAGTTGCTGACTCTGCCCCTGAACCAAAGTTGATTTTATTTAATTAACGCAAATGCAAACATAAACTTGGGGTTCACAGTGTGATGGAATACCCCGCCACAGCTGTCCACCACCCTGGCACTTTTATCAGACCTGCCCTCCAACTTCCCTTCCCTTCTCTGAAAAGGCCACTACCCCAAAGGCCAAGTTCCCAGCTGCTAGAAATGTCATGTCCCCGTAACACCAGGGCAGGAGCCACACCGTCACCAAACACCCCCCAGGACAGTGGCTGATCCAGGAAGGGAAGCACAAAGTTGGCGCTGCTGGCTAGTTTCACGTCAATTTGACAAAAGCTGAGTCTTTCTGGAAGACTGACTATCAGTTGAGAAAATGTCCTCACCAGACTGGCCTGTGCATTTTCTCAACTGATGGATGTAGGCAGGCCCAGCTCGCCCTGGGCGGTGCCTGAGCACCTGGGTCATACAAGGTGCCACCCTGAGTCCTGGGTCATACAAGGCAGCAGGCTCAGCAAGCCACGAGGAGCAAGCTGGTAAGTGGCATGCCTCCGTGGCCTCTGCATCAGCTCCTGCCTCCAGGGCCTGCCCTTTGCGTTCCTGTTCTGACTCCCTCGGTGATGGCCTGTGATGTGCAACTGTAAGCTGAGATGAGCACTTTCCTCTCCAGGCTGTTTCCTGTCAGTGTTTAATCACAGCCACAGAAACCCTAGCTAAGGCGCTGCCCTCCACGGGAAAGCATTCCTGACGCACACATTGGGCCTGTGGTGGCCAGCTCTCTCTGGCTATAGAGGAACTCAAGTCACCTGTGCTGCTGAGGTAAGCAGAGGCCGTGCTCACATTTTCAGGGTGCACAGGAAGACAGTGAGGTCATATCACTGACCCAAGATCACTCAGCTGTGAAAAATGTGAGACTGGATTGGAACCGGATCCCATGTATGTATGCAGCAGCAAGGCTCCAATGCCTCTTGGGGGGCCCAGGTTGAGGTGTGGCTAGAGGTTACTCCGTTGGGCTTGTCCCAAGTCAGCAGCGATGCCTACCCAATTGGGCAGGTAGGCTGCTTGTGGCTTGAAAACCCTGTGGAAAGGGGAGTTGGGCTGGGTAAAGTTAGCCAGGTAAACAGTGTCCCCACCTGTGAGGTAGGCAGCCCAGACCCCAAAGGTACCCACTGTGATGATGGTGTGGTTGCACTGGGTGAGCAGTGCGAGGTCCCTGGCAGGCGATCCTCGAAGGCCATTGCCAGCAAACGCCACATCCCCTTGAGAGATACTGATGCTCTTCCGGCACCAGGCCATGTCATCACTGGTGACCACGAAGACTGGCGATGGATAACGGGCCCGGAACCTGTCCAGGGCCTGCTTCAAGTAACCCCGGTCAGCCACCACGCCCTTCCACACATTGGGCATGACATGCACATAGTCCCCCCGGCGCACATGGACACCCACAAACGTACTCGGCTGGCTCCCATTCACCCGCAGGCCACGCAGGAAAGCCTGGGCCTCCTCGCGCACATGGTCGTGCAGGGTGAACTCCTGCAGGATCTCGGGGCGCAGGTGGTGGTAGAAGGTCCAGGAGCACGGGTAGCCAGTGAGGCGCACATAGCGTCCCGGGATGTGGCGGTACCGCTCCTCCATCCAGTCGTTGAGGTGGTAGTTCTGCCACGGGATCCTCCGGTCCGTGTCGCCGTGCAGCACCGGAAGGCTGATCCTGAAGATGGGTGCCAGGGCGCTGTGCATGGCCGCGGGGATGAATGCGGGCCTTCCGTTCATCCTGGCCAGGGCGAACAGCGTGGCGTACTCGCCCATCTGGTTCCCCAGGCGGCCTTTGACATTGATGGTGAACATGCCCTCCTGGGGCAGGTTTCTCGGGGCCAAGACCACAAGGGCTGAAGAGGCCCAGGGGGCAGGCACCAGAGCCAGGCGCCGGAGGCTGTGGAAGACGGTGGATAACACAAAGATCACCAAGAGGAAGTAGAAGGTGGAGAGGCCTGGACGAGTGGTCTGGAGTCCTTGGAGAGCTGTAAGAGAAGACAGGGGTCAGGAGGGATGGTCAGGGGCCAGTCTGAGCACAGCCATTCAGGGAGTGTTTCTGTGTGGCTCTGGGGACAGCCCCACCCTTTATTAGCAGTGTGAGGGGGTTAGGGTACCTCTCTGAATCTTTCTCTCACCTGACTTGGTGTGCCCACTGAAAACAGCTGGTTAACCACATCTTACTGATTCCAGCCATTTCTATGCTCCTAACCTCAGGGGCTGCATGAAAATTAAATGTGAATACAGTAGCTTTTCCTGATTCATAGTTTGACCTTCTAGAGTTCCAATTACTTAACAGGGTCAAGTGTGGTTTGGAAGTATTAAATGGAACATTCCAGGAACAAATAATCTATACATTTTAAGTTTTAAGCTGATAATGAAATCTTTTAACACCCCACCCTAGCCCACCCCCACCTCTGGTGAGTCATCCTTGGTCCTGTGTATCAAGCTGTAGGTTTCGCACGCTCTGGTCACTTAGCTGTTATCCGGCCCATCGTCAGAACTATAGTGCTCAGGCCAGCGAGATGACTCAGCCGGTAGATCCTTCCAGGCAGGCCTCCCGAGTTCAATGCTTAGATGCCCTTGAGTGGCATCTCCTGAAAGTTTTCCTCTGAAGAGAACTGGAGTGCGACGTTCAAGTTATCCTTACCCCATGACATGATGGCCCCAAAGGGCAGGGACAGTGACCATGGAGATAGGATGTGCCAGAGAGGCACCAGAAGAGGCCCCTTTAAGTAGGAAAACTAAAGTACCACAGGGTCTGCTGAGCTCTGGGAGATCACATCCACCATGCAGCTTTCATCCCAGCACTGTCACGTTACTCTGCCGAGCTGCGTCTTACTGAGCCTGATTCATAAGCTCCACGGGAATTTATGGAAACAGAAGTGGGGGTGTGCATTGTCTAAGTGCATATGTCCATTCAGATGGCCACTGGGGTCCTGGACCGTAACCACACCACTGCAGCTGATTTTCTAATGTCCTCCCATCGTGCCCAGCCCACAAGGAGTGAGTGCGTCTCACGTGCCAGCAGCTAGTGGGTTAGGAGAGCATGGGGAAGGAAAGAGAACTCTGCAGAGTGTAGTAGAGAGACCAGGCACAGGGCTGTGGGTGGCTAGGTCAATAGGTCACGTTTGCTGTATGCGGCTTGGCTTCCTGTGGTTCAGTTTAACCTCTTCTGCAAGAAGTGACCGGCCACAGGACCCACGTTTCTCACTGTCTCGCAGATTCAAGCTGCCTAGCATTTCTGCCTCCATGAACCCATGTAGCCCTGCACCTGCCAGAACCAGTCAAATGTGACAAATGAAGCAAACCTCTGCTTCTGGACCAGGGCTCGGGATGGGCAGTGCCCACTGCCTGCTTCTGAGACACTCTACTAGTTAGGCTGTAACACTGTGGCCTTCACAGGCAGGTCTGTGATGAGCCTATCTCTAGTAACCATTTCACTGAAAAACAATTTGCATACCTCAGAATCCACCTGCGTCCGTGTTCAATGTGGCTTAGTGTGCTGACAGCTGGCTAAACACCTGCTTCCCCTCAAGCCTGCACACCAGCGCTGGCTCCTCCCACCCTGCCACCTTCCTCGACTGGGCCCCGGGGTCAGTCTGTGGACACACTCAGCGCTGGGCCCCGTGGTCAGTCTGTGGACACACTCAG